CGCGTCACGTGACGCGGCCCAACCGCCGGATGGCGCCTGCGCACAGGCTGGCTGCCGGGGACCCTGCGCCTACGCAGGTGTGTTTTCTGCAGGCTCAAGTCGTAGCAGGAGGTTGGGGTTCTGGTGGTGTGGTCCGGCCTGGCCAATGGACTGGAGATCCGTGTTTCTCCCACTACGGCCAGCCCCTTTTCTTTTTCCTGTTCGGGGCAGAGTGGCTAGAACTCTGCTCTGGGCCGGCTTTCCCTGCTTTGATACTGATCAGAGGGGGAGGAAGTAGGTTCCCCAACGCCCAGGATCCCCAAAGGGACCCGCTCCTGCTCTGGGATGGGCAGAGGGCCTCAGGTGGCTCAGCCCTTGACGCACTTCCCGCCCTGTTCCCGTTCCCGCCCCTCAGTGCGTAAACAAACACCAGCGCGTGACTGGACTGGCTCAAAAACAAACAGCTTCACCTCCTTAGAAAAGTGGGGGGTTTCCCTCTTTTCTTTCGCTAAGCTGCCATCCTACCTCAACACATTTGAACTCCTTTCAGTATTAGATTGGGGGGGGGGTTGCAAGGAGATATGCTAGTTCAGAAAGAAAACTTTGGGTGTTTACTTTTTGGGAGTGACGTGTTGTAAGGGGGGAAAAAAATCCAGTAACCACTGCAGTTACGAAAAGTCTAAAAATGTAGATTATTCCGATATACTGTATAAAAGGAAGAAGATAAAGAGAAAATCAGGATAACTAGATAAAAGAATAAAAGAGTGCGAGGGAGTATCAGGATACCGGGCAGGCCGGGCAGCGCGGAGCAGCTAAAACTAATCCCAAGATTTCTTAAGGCTACATCCTTAAAGAGTTCCATTTGTGTCTAGGCGCAAAAAGGGGATTTCTTAGTGGATTTTTTAAATATGTGTTGTTTTTGTTGAGTATGACTCATAGTGACCTTATGAACAACATACCTGAACTGTCCTATCCTGTGCCATCGTCACAATCTCTGACACATTCGAGCCCATTGCTGCAGTCACTGTGTCAATTGTCCTCATTGAGGGTCCTCCTGCCTTTCATTCCCCCTCCACCTTCCCAACCATAATGCTCCTCTCCAAGGAATAGCCTCTCCTAGCAACATGTCTGAAGTATGCAAGATAAGCTTTGCCATCCTTGCCTCCAAGAAGCACTATGGCTGCACCTTTTCCAAGATGTATGTTTGTTCTTTGGCAGTCCGTGGGACATGCTGTACTCCGACACCACAGTTCAAAAGCATGGATTTTTTTTTTTTAAGAAAACATCTTTATTTTAGGAATTTTGTTACTACCTAAGTACTTAACACTTGTAATCAATTGCTAGGTTATGTATAAATAACAATCGTAATCAACTGCTAGGTTATATATACCAATCATCATTAGGTAATCTTTTAATAAGAAAGATACAATCAAAGGTCTCAATTGAAACTTGCAATCCTTCCCAAAAGGCAATCAAGGTTCCTTATCACTCCTTAATCTAAGCTCTTTGGAGTTGACATTATCAACACGTAAGACACCTAAGTGATGAGCAAAGGAAAAGCATGAATTCTTCTGCCATTGTCTAGTTCTCACCGGTTTTCAATCAGCAAGTTATTGAAAAGGTGCCCTAATCAGGTGCATCTTAGGTCTCAAACTTATAATTTGGAGAGGTTCCTGACTACAGCCTTTACCACTGCAATTCTGATGCCTCACTGCTAGTACCAAATGTATTGATGTGCATTCAAGTAAGATCAAGTCGTTGCCAGTTTGTCTTTTTTCCATTTATCATGATGCTGTCTATCCAGTGTTAAGAATCCTTGACGTTGAGATTTGATATGGGTAGCAAGGCCATATCTACATCTTATTAGAAAAGATATTCACAGGTACAGGAAAAGGGAAGTACAAGATGTTCTAAAGGGAAGCGCTGGTGTTTTGTTGTTATTGTGTGTTACTGGGTGGGAAATTACCCACAGAAGGCCCTCCAGAGCTTTCAGATTGCTCATCTGAATCTGAGGATGGGATTCAAACTGGTAGACCTTTGAGTTGTCAGTGTAACTTTTTACCACTAAGCCAGCAGAGCTCCCTAAAACATGTTTACTGTAAACGGGACAATGTAACTATGTTTTTATATTGCTTTTAAATAGTTTTCAAATAGTCCTACCAAAGGATATACAGCGTAAAGTTTCTCATCTTGTTCAGTTCACCCACTATTAAGCTTCTCATGTTGTTGTTGTTATATGCCGTCAAGTCGTTTGCGACTCATAGCGACCCTAAGTACAACAGCCCTAATCCCTGCTCTACCCTGTGCCAATCGCATTGCCTCTGACACACCCATCCCGATTACTCCATCACTGAATCAATCCACCTCATAGTATTAGATTAAAAAAAAGTATATTGATCCTCTTTAGAAAACAAAAACTCTCATGGTATTGGATTAAAAAATAAAACGTATGTTGTCCCTCCCTCCTTAAAATACCCAAAACCAGCTCCAAACACAAGCAGCTGGGTTTTTGAGCTCTCTGTCGTGCGTCTGGCTTCCTTCCAGTGGGGACATGGGTCTCAAACAGCTAGTCTCGGCCATCCTCGTTTGTCTGATGAGAGCCCTGCTCTGTGACTTGCCCAGGACCTGGCGGCGGCTAGCGGGACAGGTGGCTCCGGCGACCGTGCGGCAGGAAGCGCGGGGCGCTGACTCGCCGCCGATTCCCCCCGCGGCTTCCAAACGCGGGACAGACGCGGCGCGCGGCGCGGGCGGGGAACTCACTCGGCAGCCCAGGCGGCTGCATTCCTCCGCGAGGTGAGTACCGAGAGGGGTTCCCGGCTCGCGGCCCCGGGCCCGCCCCGCGCTCGGGGCGGAACAGGAAGAAGCGCTCGGCCGGGCCCCGCCTGCCGCCGGCGCGGGAGGAGGGGGCTGCACGGGAGCGGGTGGTGACGCCCGGGAGGCAGGCGGGCTGTTGGGCGACTCCCGGCCCCTTACGAGGCTGCCCGGGTTCCTTCCTCCCTCGCAGGTTGGCGGCTGACAGCGCGATGGACCTGGCGGGGCTCCTCCTAGACGAAGAAGGCACCTTCTCCCTCTCCGGCTTCCAGGACTTCACGGTGAGCGCGCGGCCCGCCCCCTGGCCCGCGCCCCGGCGCGCGGAGCCCTCGGAGCCGAGACCCGGGCACCCGCTTCGGGCCCGAGCCGAGCGCTTGCTCGCCTGCAGGTTGTGTCTGGGAGCCCGGCGGCAGCCGCCTGGGCTGTACCTACGCGAGGCCGCGGCTCTTGGGCCCTGGGGGGGAAAACCTCGGGGTAGGACTGGGGGTGGGGTGGCTAGAGCGGGGAACCCCGTTCAGAGGATCTCTCCTGGGGAGCTCCACTTGGAGAGGATTCCTCCCTCTCTGGACGAACAGATTGTCCCAGAACCTAGGTCTAGGTGAATTGGGGACTCCACTGAGTGTGGCCGGCCTTTGCCCTGCAGCCCCGTTTTCCAGCCCCATGCCAAGATCTCCATCATACCCTTCCCTGCCCTTCAACCTCCACCACCTTCCGGCCCTTTTTCAGTTTCTCCCGGGACACCAGAAGCTGAGCGCGCGGCTCCGAAGGAGGCTTTACTATGGCTGGAACTGGGAGACCGACGGTAGCCTGGAAGAGCTCTCCAGCCCCGTGGCAGGTGACCCCTTGGGTGGTGGGGGAGCCGAGGGTGTGGGCGGGCAGGCCGTGGGGTGGCGGTGCTTGCTGAGAAAAAGAAAAATGACTTATGTATTTGGTTCAACAACTTAGTTTGGGTTTTATATTCTTTTAGTCCAAATGAGTGAATTAGTTGCTATCTCACAAACTTAAGTCACTATTGACTTGTAAACAAACACACGGGACAACCCCCACTGTTGAGGTGGAGTTGAAACTGACTCATAGCTTCCCCTCCAGCAGGCTTTCAGAGGCTCTTTTCAGAGGTTGCCCATTGCTCTTTCTTGTATACAAGAAACTCATTTTAATTAAATTTAATCGTTCAAGGGTATCCATTCTAGAACCCAAAAATAATCAAGGTACTTTTGTTCTACATGATTTCTGGTGAACTAGAAATAAGCCTTCTTTCTGGAAAGAGCTGAATTTCAAACTTGAAATAGACTTTGTGTCTCAGCTTGGGCAACTTTGAGCTTCATTTTGCTAGCGCAGCCCCGCTCTCACGGCCTCAGCAAATGGAGAGCCTAGTCTTGGTGCTGTCAGTGGGAATTGAGGGGTTGGGGAGTTGTTCACCCTGTTCTCTTCTACCTCTGGCAGACATTGCTGTGGAAATACTCCAGAAAGCAGCCCCCAGTCCTATCCGCCGACTTCAGAAGAATTACGTATCTCATGTGTCCTGGTGAGCCAATTGTCAATGTGTCCCAATTGAGAGGGGTGATTTGGGATTATCTGGGCCCTAGGATGAGGAGGATGGTTCTCTCTTAAGAGAAAAAGGGGATGAGCGTCGTAAAGAGTTCAGGAGCAGACTGACCCTTAGGTTCTTTGCACCATCCAGGGAGGCGTGCATCTCCCCATGTGCCATGATGCTAGCCCTCGTGTACATTGAACGGCTCCGGCACCGAAACCCCGACTACCTACAGCATGTGTCATCCTCGGACCTGTTCCTGATCTCCATGGTAAGAGACCCCTTCCCCTTCAGCTCTGGTGAGCCGGGAGCTGGGTGTGAGGGCTCTTGGCAATGCCTCTACTTCCTCTGCAGATGGTGGCCAGTAAGTACCTCTACGATGAAGGGGAGGAAGACGACGTCTTCAATGACGAGTGGGGAGCTATTGGGGGTGTGGCCGTGCCCACCCTGAATGCCTTAGAGAGGGCCTTCCTGAATGCCATGGTGAGTAGCTCCCTCTCCCTTGCTGGTTCCCCAGCCTATTTTTGGGTTCCTTTCACTTGTCTTGGCTCTCTGCTTGTTGCTGTTTCTTCATGTTGCTTTCTGCCTGTCCCCCTCCTGCATTCCTTATCTCTTTCTTTCTGGATTCCCTTGTGACCCTGGGAGGTTCCTGACGTGGTGACACCAGGAGTATGATATTTCCTGTGTCTTTAGCGCCCCACAGCTGTTACATACTCCTGAGTGTAAGTTTGCCTCTTGGGTTTGATTAGTCACTTCTAGACTTCCCCCCCCCCTCATAAATTTTGAGCACAGACCATGGCCAGGGTTCTTGTCTCCAGCTGCTCTGAGGGAGAAAGAAGAGCAGTCTCCTCCCTTGAGGTTTACAGCCTCTGAAAACCCACTGGAGGGTCAGCTCTGGGTCAGTTCTAATGAGAGCAATGTGATATCTAAGCCGAATAGGTGGTGATGGACTAAGCAGAGACTTTAAAGCCTTTGGAACCTGGTCTGGCACATGATAAACTGCTAGCTTAAAAGCCCAATGTAGTGGTGGTTGCTGTTGATAATGCTCTTCCTATCACGTGGCTGTGGCTCATATCCAAGTCCCGTATGTCCTTCCCACAGGATTGGCGTCTCTACACTGACCCTCGGGAGATCTTCGAGGTGCTGAGTTGGCTGGAGAGCTGGTAGGTTCTAGGCATTGGGAGAGGGTCAGAAGGGATTTTGGGGCTGAGACTTAAGCCATGGGAACTAGACACAATGTTCTTTTAACCTGCACGGAGAGAGAAGACAAGGGAGAGAATTGCCCAAGGCAGTAGTTCCAAACCTGTCTGCTCTTTTCATAATCACATTTGATAGGGTGGGGATAGGAAAAACTTACTTAAAATATATTTATAGGGCCTTATCTTCCCAGTTTCGGGTTGAGCAGATAACCTAGGGATCTAAATCTGTAACAAGCTCCTCCCTGGTATTTTCCAGTGGTTCCTGAGAGCCTGTTTCACAGGGCATGAGGGTGCTTCTGGGCTGGTGGCAGGACAGGGTGTGAACTCTCTTTTCTCCATTCCCCCCTAGCGTGGCTGAGCAGCAGGGCCGACGACGGGGCTGGTACACCTATACAGACCTGTGCGTGCTGCTGGAGCAGCCAGCCTGGCAACTGGCTCTGGGCTCCATCTGCCAACAGCTGGCAAAGGTGAGGAGTGATGGGGCTTGAAAGGGCTGTTGTGTAGGGGAGAGTGTTGTTAGATGCGGTCAACTATGACTCATACCAACTCTGCAAACAACAGATCTGAACTTTGCCCTGTCCTAGGCCAGCCTCATGGTCTCTCTCATGTTAAAAGCTCGTAATGGTGGTCACTCTGTCAGTTCATTCCTTTTACTGACTCTCTACCTTTCTCTGCATGGTATTTCTTTTTAAAGACTGGTTCCTCTTGAAAAAAATGCCCAAAATAAGTGAGATGAAGTTTTCACCAACCTTCCTCTAAGGAACAGTCTGGTTGTGCTTGCTTCATTCATGACAGACTTGTTTGTTCTTTGGCAGTTCATGGGATATTCAGTATTTTTCTCCAACACTACAATCCAAAGGCATAAGTTCTTTTATCATCCTTATTCATTGTCCAACTTTGAGATACATGTTTTTATGTGCTTTTGAGACACCTGCAACTCATAGCAACCCCCTGTACACCGGCTCTGAAGCCTGCTCTGTTCTGAGCCAGTCTCACTGACTCTGACATACCTACCCCCATTGCCCTAGTTATTGTATCAGTCCACATTTTCCCAATGCAGTTTATCTTTTGATTTCCTGACTGTTAGTGGCAAGAGTGTAAATTGTGGAGCCAAACAGATTGTAATTGTTAACAATCTCAATATCTTCTCCATCTATCTTGGTGCTGTCTGCTGGACTATTAGTGAGAATCTTTGTCTTCTTGATTTTGAGCTTCAATCCATATTGAAGAGCCCAGTCCTTGACTTTCTGCAGCAAGCACCTCAGGTCCTACTCAGTTTAAGCAAGCAAGGTTGTATCATCTGCATATTGCAGGTTGTTGAGTTTTTCTCCAATCCTCATGGAAGAGTCTGTCCTCCCCATGAAGCCCAGTCTCCTGAATGATCCGTTCTGCATATAGGTTGAAAAGATACGGAGACAGAATGCATCCCTGACACACTCCTTTCCTTATTTTGAATCATGCAGTGTTTCCTTGTTCTGTTCTGAGGACAGCTTCTTTGTCCAAGCATAGATTTCACATAAACACAATCAAGTGTTCTGGAATTTCCGTTTTTCTCAAGGTTAGCCACAATTTGTTGGGATCCACACAGTCACATGCCTTTGCATAGTCAATGAAACACAGACAGACATTCTTCTGGTACTCTTCCTTTCTGCCAAGATCCATCTGACGTTGGTGATAATGTCTTTAGTGCCATGACTTCTAAACCCAGCTTGTATTTCTAAGAGTTCTCTGTCAATATACTGTTCCAGTCATTTTTTAATAATCTTCAGGATTTTGCTTGTGTATGATTTTAATGATACTGTTTGATTATTTCCACACTCTGTTGGGTCATCTTTTTTTTTGAATGGGAATAAATAATAGATCTCTTTCAGTCAGTTGGCCATGTAGTTGTCCTCCAGATTTCTTGGTCCAACTTGGTGAGCATGTCCAGGGCAGCATCTGTTTGTGGAAATATGTCAATTGGTATTAACATCAATTCCTGTGGCTTTACTTTTTGCAAAGTCCTTCAGAGCAGCCTGAACTTCCGCCTTCATCACCATTGCCTCTTGCTTTTGTTTTTGTTGTTTTCATCACCATTGCCTCTTGCTTTTGTTTTTGTTGTTTTATCCCATTGCTTCTTAATCATGTGTTGTGTTTTGAAATTCTTCTGTGTCAGCCAATTCTTTGTGATATAGTGACTCCATATACTCCTTCTTTAAATGCTTCCTGGATCATTCAGTATTCTTCCCATAGCTTCCTTAAGTATTGGAACTCGTGGCTTGAATTTGTTCTTTAGTTCCTTCGGCTTAAGAAATGCCGAATAAGAAGCAATTAAAAGACCATAGCTTGGATCCGGTACACCTTAGTCTTTAAACTGATATCCTTCCTCTTTAGAACTTTGGAGAGGTCCTTGACAGCAGATTTTCCCAATGCCACATGTCTCTTCATCTTTTGACTGCTACTGCATGGGTGTTGATTGTGAATCCAAGTAAAATGAATTCAGTCTTTGTCTATCATGAGTTTACCTATTGGTTCTGTTATGAGGATTTTTGTTTTCTTGATGCTGAGATGTAACCCATACTGAAGGCTGTGGTCTTTGATCTTCTGCAGTAAGTGCTTAGAGTCATAGCACAGGGTATTGAGTCTTTTCCCAATCCTGATGGTGCCTTTTCTTCATAGAGTCCAGCTTCTTGAATGATTTGCTCAACATACAGATTGACTAGGAATGGAGAAAGGATACAACCCTGATGTGCACCTTTTGTGATTTTGAACCTGTAGTGTTATTGTTCTGTTAGGGAAACTGCTTCTTGTTCTCGGTCTGGGTTTCACGGGAGTACAGTTCACCATTCTGGAGTTGCTGTTCTTTTCAATGTTAGCCGTAATTTCTTATGATCAGTACAGTCAGATAACTTTGCATAGTCAGTAAAACACAAGTCTGGATTTTTCGGCTTTAAGCCAGTATCCACCTGGGATTTGAGTGATGGGATTTGAGTTAAAAACCCACTGCCTTCAAGTCGATTTCAACTTGTGGCAACCTTACAGTGCATTTCCAGAATGTCCTCTGGCAGTCTTTATGGAAGGAGAATGCCCATCTTTCTCTCTCTTTTTTTAAATTTTATTATTTTTGTTTGTGTACTGTCAAATCGGAGCTGACTGGTACAGGAGGAGATTGCCCCTCCTTCTCCAGCAGAGCATCTGGTGGATTCGAACTGCGTACCTCTGGCATTGCAGTGCAGCTTCTTGCCACTAGGCCACCTGAGCTCCCTTGTCCATCTTTCTTTTGCAGGGTGGCCAGTATATTTGAACTGCTGACCCTTTTTTTGTTAGCAGCTCAGCGTATAACACTCTATTGTTGACTGAAGTAAGACTCGTTGTTGGCTGAAGGGGAGGTGTACCTGGCCACAGAGAGCTCTGACTGTAGCCTGTGTTTCTGGAGACAAGGGATGGATGTGTTAAATACAATCGGAAGCAGATTTGGGAGAGAGAAACCCCCATGTATGTGGACACTGACTTTTCTTGTCTCTTCTCCTGCAGCTCTCCTGCCTTTTAGCCGTGGCGTATGTGAGCGGGGTGGCTCTGGCTGTGGCATCGGTGGCTGTGTTGCACCAGTCCTTGGGCTTGTCCTGCAGCCCTCCACCGGGCCCTCCCGACTTTGGACTGGCCTCCAGGTGCCTCTGGGAACCCTGCATGTCTTCTCCCCTGCCACAGTTCCTGCCGCCTCCTGCTAACATCTCTAGTGGCCTGGAAGAAGACATCGTGCTCCGTTCAGTCTGGGGAAGTCTCCCGACCTCCCTGACTCCCCAGCCCTTGCCTCCTCCAGACCCTCCTGCTCCTCCCGTTCTTCTCCACGACTGCCCCCTCTGCCAGAAGCTTCAGAGAGACTCCGCAACCTGCCATGCCTGCCGCCAGCCTAACCATACGGTCTCTCCTGGGCCTCCCAGCCCCTGGTACCACACTCACAGCCTGGCTGCCCCTTGTCCTTGGAGCCCGAGCCTCCCTCCCCTCTCCCAGCCCCAGCAGTGTTCTCTCATAAGTGTCATGGAGCTGGCCCGCCTCAAATCGTTCATCTTTCCAGGCTAGGTAGGGCTCTGAGGAATGCATTGAGAGTACTTGGGAGTCCCAGAGAACCTGGAGGATCCAAGCTTGACTTTTAGACTCTCTACCTCTCTGGGTCTTTGGCTGGTTCCCTGTCCTAAAGGATGGAGCTAAAGGGGTTGTAGGGCAGACAAAAGAAGGCCATTCACTCTCCTCAAGCTCAAGTGACTGGCTGACAGGGCAGTGATGGAGCCTGGTGACTCACACTGTGTCCCAGATGAACAGAGGAACAGTATCTCTCCGCCTCCCCAAGGCTCTTTTAGACTTTACTTTTTAAATTCTCTGGGTGGGAGGGTAAAGGTAGGATGTGGGTGTGGGCAGTCAACCTGTGTGATGTCCCTGGCAGGTAGCCAGGGGCTGATAAGACTGAGGTGGGCATTGCTGAGGAATGGCTGGTTAAAGTGGGCAGAATTTCTTGGTATAGTCTAGTGGGACCAGGGACTGCTGGGACCTTTTGTCTTCCCCCTCCTCAGTGCCCTTCTCCTAGGCTTCCTTCTGTGGTTCCCTTTTCAGTGTTCTCTTCACAGGCCACTCTGGCCACTGCTTTGTATCTGGGTTTTTCACGCTTTTGTAGAACTGAGATTTCAATAAACAGTTTCAATTGCCTGGCTTGGACTCCTCCTTGTAGGGCAACCCTTACTTGTCTCTCAGGAGCTACCTTCTAACTCTTCTAACTTCCTGACCATGTCATACAAATTGTTTTCTCTGAGCCCCTTTTCTGAACTTCCTGTGTGTTAGTTGGAGGCTGTATTTCAGACCCCCTTGCCCCTGTTCCTGAGATCCCAGCATTTTTCAATCCAGAGTGCTATGGACACCTGGGGTTAACATTTTCTGTTGCATGTCCTTGTGGTTCCTGAAGCACATCCAGACAGGAGTCACGAGTCACGTGGTGTTTATCATCCAAGGCCAAGGACTCCTGGAGGGCAATCCCCAAGGCACACCTCTCTTCTGGATTTACTGGTTTGATAGTCTGCAGTGTGAAAAGGTCTCCAAAGCTGGGTTATTCTGGGCCATTGGACTGAAGAAGATTTGCCATTTCAGTTAAAATGTTTGGCTAATGTGAAAGGTGCCAGCACACTGTTCACAGTCAGAGGAAGATGCTGCAGCCTTGGAAACTCTTTGGGCAGTTCTGTGACCCTATAGGATCAGTTGTTAGCAACGGATATGGGTTTGGAAGATGATTCACAGGAAGCATTTTGGAAATGGGGCATCACTTTGGTTACCACAAGGATTTAAGAGGACATGTAACCCAAAACCTATTGTCCCTGCACTCATCCTGAACTGCTGGAGAGGTCCTTCCCCCAATGTAAAGAGTTTCCAAGACAATTTGTGTATGACCTCCTGGATTATGTTTATTTGAGCCTAAAATGATGTCCTCAAATTTATCCCCCACTCTATATAGTAGTTCTATAATGTTATTACCTGTAACACCAAATAGTTGTTAAAGGATTTGGGGTGGGGTGCATGCCCTTAATTCCATCACAGCTCTAACTGGAAAGAAGGAACACCTCGAGGGTATGATCTAGAATAATTTGTATTTTATAGAAATAAAAGGGAGCTCTGGTGGACTTGTAGAAGCTGTGCTGTAATCTCAAAGGTATGTAGTTCAAATCCACCATCAGCTCCGTGGGAGAAAGAAGGGCATTCTCCTCGTACAATTAACTGCCTCTGCTGGATGGAGAAAAGCATAGGAAAGAGACCTGAGGTTGGGGGTGGGTCTCAGTACCTGGAAGAGAATGAGGTATGTCTGTCTTATGGGACCCAGGCTCCTGCCTGATGAAATTCCTTTGTCAAGGAAAGACAAGATGCAGGAGGAAACAAGTACTTTCCTCTACGACCTGCAGGCAGAGGTCCTTTTGCCTCTGCCTTGTGTACTGAACTTGGCTTCCTGAACTGTAAGAGAATAAATTTCTGTTTATGAAAGCCCTCCAACTTGTGGTGTCTCTGTTTTAGCAGCATCAGATGGCTATACAGTCTTCCTTTTGACATGTAAGCACAGACTATGTTTTGCATTTTTTGGAAAAGACTTAACATTTCCAGACACTTCTCTCCATGTAAATGACAAGAAAAGGATACCTTTGTTTTTCAGCACTTTCACCAGGAGTTTATAATTTTGGAAAATCATGTCACCAATAGCAATACTGCGTGTGCTATTTTATTCACCAATAAACCACCTGTGTGTGTTGGCAGCATAACTATCATGCACATCCTGGGCTGTGGGGATCAGACCACCTCATTGTCCTCTCATTTACTTGTATTCATGCTTCTATTGTTATTAATAACTTTTCCTTTGTCCTTTGTGTGAGGACGTTATATGGAATTATAGTCACTGTCATAATATGTGATAATGGATATGTTACTAGATTTTGTTTTGAGGTTCTCAAAGGGTTGTAAGGGAGCCCTCGTGGCCTAATAGTGGACTGCTACAATCCCAAAAGCACCTGGTTCAAATCCACCAGCTGCTCCGCGGGAGGACGATGAGCAGTCTCCTCCCATGCAATTTGCTGCCCCTGAAAACCAGCTGGAGGGTCAGCTGTAAGTCTGTTTTGACTCAGTGACACACCACCACCAAGAATCGTTTGGGTTCTGAAATGGTTGAGTGCTGCAGACGTGACGGTGATGCCTCTGAATAGTACTGAGGGGCGAATACAGTACAAAATCTTCCCAGGTTATTTTGATAGGTTTTTATTACCCCCTGTGCTTTGCAGAGGCTGGTCTATGAGAAGGGGATTTGAATGGAAATGACTGGGGGAGGGGTCCAGAACCTGGCTCCAGTTAATGGGTGATGGAGTTTGCGCAAGAGCTGGGCAAAGGTGAAAAGGGCTGTGTCCTGCCCCAAATCCCTCATCCCTCTGCTTCGTTGATACCCCCACCCCCTTCCTACTCCAGGAAGCTGACTCCACCCAAACTTGGACCTCTCACTACTCTAACTGTGCCCCAAAGCAGCCAAGACAAGAGACAAGGCAGGAGAGCATGAGCCGATCACCCCCACATTCCAGCCAACTCCGATCTGTGGGCTCCCAGGAGGGCCTGGCTCTTCAGCCATTGCCACCTGCTCCCTCATGTCCCTCTTGGGCCTCTCTGGGTGGGCCTCCTCCCTGGAGCCTCAGCTGTCTCCTGGCTCTGCAGGTAGGAGGCAGAGGTGTAGGAGTTGGAGTTTGAACGTGGGGAGGTGTAGCATGAGACACTCTCTGGAAATGGCAGTTTCCTGGGAGAGGTGCGTGTCTGAGGACTACCTGGCCTCCCCCTGCAGCATCTGGTTGTCCTGGCTTCTGTGCTCTGTGTCTCCCACCTGCTCCTCCTCCGCAGTCTCCCCCCAGGAGGGATCTCTTACTCACCTGTCCAGCTTCTGGCCTCCAGCCTCTTTTCAAGTGGTGTGTCTACTGTCTTGCAAACTTGGATGGGCAGCAGGTGAGGGTTTCTCTCTGGAGAGAGGGAGGCTGGAGTCTTGAAGGGGAGGAGAGACTGGAGGGAAATCCCATGGATTTCCAGCATCCAGAGCTGCCAGGCTGCTGTTCCCACAGGCTGCCTCTTGTGCAGGCCCCGTCCTTCGAGTTCCTTACCCCTGCTCTGGTGCTGACCAGCCAGAAGCTACCTATGACCATCCAGACACCTGGAAACTGTGAGCACAGGGGGTGGTCTGGGTGCTAATCTGAACATACAGGCGAGGTAGGGTCAGGATTAAGACTGAACAATGGTGGGACTTCTTGGGATTGTAGGGACTTGAGCCTGAGCCAGGGACCGGCTAGGAATATAGAGCCAAGGGGCTCCATCTCACTTTTCTTTTCTCTGTTGCCCAACCTTTCCCAGCCTCCCTTATGTTCCGCCTAAAGGAATGTGTGGGGCCTGGCTGCCATGGCTTGGAGCTCAGCAACACTTCTCTCCGAGAGGTGAGTCCCTCCAGGGAGCAAAAAAGCTGAGGTAGGAGGTAAAGAAGATCTTATTTTTATTCTGCAGGGACTGAGACGCCCTAGGGGAAGGGATTGGAGGACGTCTTGGCCCTGGAACAAGTTAGGAGGACCAGGCTGAAGCCAGAGTGTTCTCTCGTCTGCTCCACAGGTGTCTGGAGCAGTGGTGGTGTCGGGGCTGTTGCAGAGCACGCTGGGCCTCTTAGGGGGCCCAGGGCGTTTGCTACCCCACTGTGGGCCCCTGGTTCTGGCCCCCGGTCTGGTTGTGGCAGGGCTCTCTGCCCACAGGGAGGTGGCTCTGTCCTGCTCTGTTCACTGGCTTCTGGCCTTGCTGTACGTGAGTCCTGAGAGGTGCGGGATGGTGACCAGTGCGGTGGGTGGGACTGGGCAAGGTGGAGCTGCCGGCCCTGTCAGATTCGCCAGCCATCTGATGGGACAGAACCTGTGGGATTGTGAATCCAAGACTTTGTCTGGTTCATCTGATCTCCCTGACTTTCATGCTGTCTTCCAGGGTCCCCGAAGGCACCCCATGTACCCCTTCTGTGGGATTTTCTTCTTTGAGACCCCCTTGATGGTCCTTGGCTGCCCACTCCACTTACATTGATATCCCTTAACATGTTGCTGCTTCCTGTCTCTAAAGCTCCTTCCCTGCCCTAGGCTTATCCTGCTCATGGTGGTCTGTTCTCAGCACCTGGGCTCCTGCCAGTTACCCCTCCTCTCCTGGAGGCCAGCTTCCAGCTTACCAACTCGTGCTCACATCCCTGCTTTCCGGCTCCTCTCGGTATGTGTGGTGCCAGGGCACGGGTGATTGAGCTTATTGGGGCTGCCATGAAAACCCCTTTGGTCCTCTCCCTTCTGACTAGCCCTCCAAGGCTGACTTGGAAGGTTCGGGGACAGGCTCTTTTCTGTCTCAGGTGTTGGTCCCTGTGGCCTGTGTGTGGATTGTCTCGGCCCTTCTGGGCCTCGGCAGTGTCCCCTTGGAGCTGTCTGCCCCTCCGAAGGCACCATGGTTTTGGCTGCCGCATCCAGGTAGATTTTCTGCTCTACTGTCTTATTACTCTCATAATGGTGTTTGTTCACAGGAGTTTCTTTTCTAAGTTAAATTGTGTGTCTTCTCAAAACATATAGGAAGAGGACCCTGTGGTTTTGTTAAGGATGATAATTAAATAACAGGATGGACGTAATTAATGTCACAGGCCTGTATGTGTCAAGATTGCAAAAATGTCAGATGTTTTGTTTCATACATAGTGACTAGAATGTAAAACATTAGTATTGTTGTTGTTGTTATGTGCCGTTGAGTCGTTTGCGACTCAGAGTAAACATTTAGTATAGGAGAAGAAAATTGCCAAAAGAGGATTAATCCCAGTCCTTTTCTCAAGTATTTTACTTGGGTCAGTGTTTGTTTATTTGGGTTTTTTCTAAAACCTATCCTTTCCAGGGAGGAAGAGGGGATAAAAATGAATAAATAGGTAATCTGGGTAAAGAGAAAGGCAATATATAATAAGGATTTCATTGGATATTATAATAAATTATTGGCACTAATCACTTATAATTAATGTTTTAAAACAAAATGTGTATTAATGATGAAATGAAAAAATCAACATGTTTTGTAAACTTTCACTCAAATAAAAAAAAATTAAAGTTAAAAAATATGTGGTTGTTGTTGTTATTATGTGCCTTTGAGTTGACCATGACTCAAAATGACCCTATGTACAACAGCCCTGAAGCCTGCCCTGTCCTGATCCAGTCTCACTGACTCAGACACATCTACCCCCATTGCCCTAGCTGCTGCATCAATCCATCTCATCTAGGGTCTTCCTTTTCTGCGCTGTCCCTCTACCCTTCTGAGCATGATATCCTTCTCCAAGGTCCCTCTTGGCCACGTGCCCAAAGTATATAAGAAGAAGCTTCAAAATCCTTGCTTCCAAGGAGGAACCTGGTTTCACCCTCTCCATGACAGACCTATTTGTTTAGTTTCCACACGTTCCCTCTCCACGTTCCAGACCCCATCCACACATTTATGTTACCTACTCAATCGGTATTTGAGCCGGTGACCTTTGAGTAAAGTTTCTTTTTGAAGCATTACTGATCCATTTGTTAATTTCCTAAAGGTCAGCTGAGTGTTGGTTGTGTCCCAGGCATGTGAAAGGGGACCTGGTGATGATGCTGTCCTCAGGGAGCTCACAGGTTCCCAGAGAATGCAGATACTAATTAGATGTCCCCCAAGTGATTGTGAGGTTGCAGTTGTGGTAAGGGTATCAAAGGGAGGTGCGTCTGTAGGTAAGAGCTGAGCTTCTGATGGAGGACTTTGACTGCAGCAGGGAGTTCAGGAAATACATCCTGCGTGCTCATTGGGTTAAAATGTGTGATGAGCAGGAGGTGCTGGATGAAGGAAGGAGAGGAGAGCATTCTAGGTGGGAAGAATAGGACATGTGAAGAAAGGCCTTGTGGTCGACAGAGCACAGCAAGCAAGTGTAAGGGTCCAGGCCAAGGTCAGTATCTGGAGTGAAGGAAGTGACATGGAGTGTGGTGGAGATAAGTTTTGGTGGGAGAAGGGAGAGGCAAGGCGTAGGCCTAAAAGGACTTTGCAGACTAAAGAGTTGGGTCTTAACACAAAGAGTTGGGTGGTTTTATCCCAAGGCATTGTCTTCAAAGATAATGTGGCATCTAGGATTCTTGCAGCCCAGGCAATGGCAAATGGCAGTGGCATTGGCAATGGCAGGGGATGGTCCGGACTTAAGTTTTCCTGCAGAGCAGCTCTCTCTCCCTTTCCAGGTGAGTGGGATTGGCCCTTGCTGACACCCAGGGCTCTGACTGCAGGCATCTCCATGGCCCTGGCGGCCTCCACCAGCTCCCTGGGCTGCTATGCTCTGTGTGGCAGGCTCCTGCATCTGCCTTCACCACCTCCACATGCCTGCAATCGAGGGCTGAGCCTGGAGGGCCTGGGCAGTATGCTGGCTGGCCTGCTGGGCAGTCCCATGGGCACTGCATCCAGCTTTCCCAACATAGGCACAGTGAGTCTTACCCAGGTACGGTCCTCAGACCCAGGATGGGGGCAGCTGGAGGGACAGGCGAGGGCAGGGAATTCCCACTACTTTGCCATGCCCTTTACACTAATTGTATCATTTAAGGAGGTGCCGAGGAATAGTATGAGGGCTGGGAGTGTGGGGAGGTTATAGGTATTATAGAACTCCTTCTGTCAGATAAAGCACTGGGGCTATGGTTCCAGAGGACAGTCAGACAAAGTCCTTCCTCCTGGGGAGCTAGGAGAGGCAGACAGCTAAAAAAATTCCCACAGAGCGTGGTAAGTGCTGCTATTCAGACATCAAAGCAGCAGAGTGGACTGGGACTGAGGAAAGGAGGCAGCTTCAGGTAGAGCAGTGGATGGTGGATCTTGGAGGAAGAAACATTTGAGTTGTGACCCGACTGATGAGAAAGAGCTGAGTGGGAGAAGGGGTGGGAAGCGTCCGAGGAGGTAGATGCGTTTTCCCATGTCTCTCCTAGGTTGGATCCCGTCGAGTGGTCCACTTGATGGGGCTGCTCTGCGTGGGCCTTGGACTCTCCCCGAGGCTGGCCCAGCTCCTCACCAGCATCCCTCTGCCTGTGCTTGGTGAGTGATATTGCAGAAGGGGCTAGGATGCAGCCTGTACCCAGGGGGCCAACCAATTGGTTAGGGATGGCACCATTCTTTCTGAATCTTCTCCTAGGATGATGTATATGAATTTGTGTTACAAGCCTTCATTTTCTCAGCCTAATATCTATCTTAGCCTCTTGACTGGGGACTCTGGGCTTCTTGAAGAATAAGAAAAAAATCTTTCTGGCTGTCTCTCCCCACCCCCATACCTGTTCATCCCTGAGCACTCCCTGCTGTGTCAATCCTCTCCCAACTCTCTACATTTCTTCAACAATACAGGTGGGGTGCTGGGGGTGACCCAGGCTGTCGTTCTGTCTACCGGATTCTCCACCTTCTACCTGGCGGACATTGACTCTGGGCGGAATGTCTTCATAGTTGGCTTCTCTATCTTCATGGCCTTGCTGCTGCCAAGATGGCTTCGGGAAGCCCCCAATCTTCTAATCACAGGTGGGAAAAGTGTGTGTGTGGGGGAGAGGACTTGCTCTGGAATAGGGAAGTCCTCTCACTCCACTCCCTTCTTTGAGCTTTAGTATCAACAGTTCATCAAGTTGTCTTACATGTTATTAAGCACCATGTTAGCTACTTGGGATACAAAGATACCTCTAGGAGGAAGCTCTGGTGGCCTAGTGGCAAGAAGCTGTACTGAAATCCCAGAGGTACACGGTTCAAATCCACCAGATGCTCTGCTTGAGAAGGAGGGGCATTCCCCTCTTGTAACAGTCAGATCAGATTTGATGGTACACCCCCCCCCCCTCAAAAAACCCCTAAAAGCCAAAAACACAAAGATTCCCCTAGGGGTTGCAGTTCAGTGAAAAACATGAATAGTGTAGGACAAGAAATTAAAAAAAAACAAACCCCAAAAAGTTTCAGAGAGAAATTGTGGCTCACCAGTGAAAGATGACTTCTGTTTGAAAGGATCCAGGCAGGTTTCATGGTGAAAGCAACATACAGCTGGTCTTGAAGGACAGTAAGGTACAAAAGAAATCTTGTTAAGACCAAGATTGTGCTGATGGGGGAACAAACATAAACGAAACCACAGAAGCAGTTAAGTCATAGGGCATGTCCCAGGAGAAACAAATAGCTTGGTTTGTCTAGCGGAAGAGTTTTCATCTGGGGGTGATTTTATTCCCCCAGGGGAACATTGGATAGTGGTTATATCTAGTGGCAAAGGCCAAGGATGCTGGTAACCCTCCCTACTGTGCACAGAACAGACAACAAAGAAATAGCCATTGTCTTCAATTCCAACTCAGAGTGACTCTGTAGGACTAAGGCCACAGGTCTTTATGGAAGTAGATTGTCAAATCTTATTCCTGTGGATCAGCTGGTGGGTTTGAACGGCTGGTCTTTTGGTTAGTAGTTGAACACTTTAACCACACTGCTACCGGGATTCCTTGACAAATAATTATCCAGTCCAAAGTCTCAGTAGTACTCCAGTTGAGAAACTCCAGGCTAGAGCATAGGGTGAGAGATGAAGTTGACAATTTTAATACTAAACTTTTCAAAGCAAGGAAGCCCAGAACATTCAAAGCGTATCTGGAGGGCATGTGGTTGTTCAGGAGATAGGGTGTTGAGAGTAGAGGGACAAGGTGGAGGGGAAGGGGGAGAATGACAATTCAGAGAGAACTGTCCTTATCCCAGATTTCAGTTTAAGCCCAGGAGTGTAAGAGTGTCTGGAACTGGATGGCTTCAGAATTCCCCCCCTGTCTGGCCCCTGTAGGCTGGGGCCCCCTGGGTGTGTTGCTGTTCTCACTGCTGTCAGAGCCCATCTTCCTGGCCGGCTTCGTGGGCTTCCTTCTAGAGAACACCGTTTCTGGTAAGTTGATGCCAGTCAACAGCAGACTGCAAAATGATCAAGAAGAGATTATTCTGGTTGGGCAATGGCCTGACCGACCTTTCTTTTGCAGGCACACAGCTTGAGAGAGGCTTAAGTCAAGGATTTCTGCCTCCTTTTGCTGCCCAAGAGGCTTGGAGGCCTCCAGTGTCCAGACAGAAGTCTGAACAAGAGTATGAGCTTCCTCCCTCCATCCAAAACCTGTGTTCCTGCATCCCCCAGCCCCTCCGATGCCTGTGTCCACTTTCCAAGGACATTGGAGGGAAGGAAGGAGAGCCTTCAGAGCCAGGAGAATTGGCAGACTTGCTGCCTGGCTTGGAAGAGTCATGCCCTGGAGCAACCAGAGGAAGGGTTGGGGCTCAGTAATTCCAGAATGACTACTGTAGTCTGGTTAGCTTTCTGGGGAGTAAGCTCCTAGCTCCACTTTCTCCTAGGGAGAGGATGAGTGTGTGTGTAACCTGGACCTATCTACAGGTCCCATTTCTCATTAGGTATGTGACTTCCCATTAACAAGGCCTAACTGTTATGTATTTTCTCCTGTGGAGCAGTTTATCTGTTCTATTCAGTGACCTTTCAGTGGCTTAGGGATCATGAATGAATGAGTTTTTGTCTGTTCATTATCAGTGTCTCTTAAACTCTAGCCTTCACTCAACCAATATTTATTCAAGTGCTTTACATATACATGGTCCCTGAGCTATAGATACAAACAACTCATATCTGTAGTTCCTACCGCCTCAAAGTCTTTTGTGATTAACTAAAATGTAAAGCAGAAGGCATAAAGACAGCAATAAAGATTTAAATAATATTCTTGGAGCAAAAAGGCAATAAGTAAATCTGATTGGGGGGAAGTGGGAAAGGCTCTTATAAATGCAGGGCCCTTTGGCCTTGACAAGTATGGAAATGGGTCAAGAATTTTTCAGGTTCAGGGATCACTAACTTGAGAAAGGTTTCAAGTTTTTTAGTGGTAATGAGAGTAACTCATTACTCATTAATGAGAGAGGAATTTCATGAAACAACATATGATTAAGAGGCAAAGATAATGAAGGATGAAGTTCAAGTTGCTCTGAAGGAATTGGGAAAAAACAAGACCTGAGGAATTGATGGAATACCAATTGATATATTTCAACAAACAGATGCAGCCCTGGACATACCAGGTTGTGCCAAAAAATCTGGAGGACAATTACCCAACCAATTGACTGAAAGAGATCCATATTTAGTCCCATTCAAAAAAATGGTGACCCAACAGAGGGTAGAAATTATCAAACAACATCACTAATATTACACACAAGCAAAATCCTGCTAAAGATTTTTAAAAAATGACTAGAACAGTGCATTGACAGAGAATCAATAGAAATACAAGCTGGGTTTAGAAGAGGCTGTGGCACTAGGGACATCATAATCAATGTCAGATTGATCTTGGCTGAAAGCAAGGAGTATCAGAGGAATGTTTGTGTTTCATTGACTGTGAAAAGGTATTTAACTGTGTGGATCACAACAAATAGTGGCTAACTTGATAAAAATGAGAATCCCAGAACACTTGATTGTAGTTTTGAGAAACCTACACTTGGGTCAGGAAGCAGTCTTCAGAACACAGCAAGAAAACACTGCATGGTTCAAAATCAGGAAAAGAGTGCATCAGAGATGAGTTCTGTCTCCATACCTCTTCAATCTATATGCAAAACAGATCATTTGGGAGGCTGGGCTTTATGAGGAGGAATATGGCATCAGCTTCGGAGAAAGATTCATCAACAACCTGCATTATGCAGATGACACAACGTTGTTAGCTGAAAACAGAGGAATCTGAAGCACTTTCTGCAAAGCCTAGGACAGTAGTCTTCAATATGGATTGACACTCAACATCACGAAAACAAAGATCCTCACCAATGGACCAATTGGCAGCACAATGATAGATGGAGAAGAGATTGAGATTTGTTTGCAATTTCATCTTTTTCAGATCCACAATCAACACTCTTGGCACCAGTAGTCAAGAAATCAAAAGGCAAATTGCCTTAGGAAAATCTGCTGTCAGGGACTTCTCCAGAGTGAAGAGCAATGATATCTATCTAGAAACTATGGTGTGCCTGATCCAGGCTATGGTCTTCACATTTGCTATGCATTGGAGAGCTAGACAATGACTAAGGATGGCAGAACGATCAATGCCTTTTAGTTGTGGTGCTAGAGAACAACAATGAACATACTGTAGACTGCTAAAAGGCCTAACAGGTCTGTCCTGGAGAGGGTGAAACCAAGCTGTTCCATGGAGGCAAGGATTTTGAAACTCCATCACATATATTTTGGGTATGCGGCCAGGAAAAAGCAGTCCTTAAAGAAGAACATCATACTTAGAATGATGTAGAGGGACAGCACAGGAGAGGAAGACCCTGAATGAGATGGATTGACAGTAACTGGGGTAATGGGGGTAGGTTGTTGGAAACAGTGGGATTGGCTCAGGACAGGTCAGGTCAGGATTCAGTGCATAGGGTTGGTAGGAGTCACAGTTGACGCGATGGCACGTAACAAGAACAAGAACAAGGAGAGTAACTATGAGATAATAGAGAAATGAGGCAGGAGAGGCAAAAAGTGAGGCCAGACCTTAAAATATATTTAGGAGACTCAACGCTAGAGCTGAAGATGTGATATTAAGTTCAAACCCTTCATTTTATAGGAAGGAGTTTGTCCAGAGGACAGAGACAAGAGTATATTAACTGGCTCTCTGCTCCTTGTCGATCCAGATTGCCCTCTCTTCTCATGCAGCCTCAGCCACATCCCTGAGACATGATGATGAAGGTTGGAGTAAATGGATTTGGCTGCATTGGGAGCCTGGTCCCAGGGCTGCTTTTAACTTTAGCAAAATGGATGTTGTTGCCATCAATGATCCCTTCACTGACCTCAACTACATGGTCTATATGTTCCAATATGATTCCACCCATGGAAAGTTCAATGGCAGTCAGGCTGAGAATGGGAAGCTGGTCATCAATGGGAAAGCCATCACTATCTTCCATGAGAGAGATCCCGCCAACATCAAGTGGGGTGATGCTGGTGCTGAGTATGTTGTGGAGTCCACTCGTGTCTCCACAACCTTGGAGAAGGCTGGGGATCACTTGAAGGGTGGTGCCAAATGGGTAATCATGTCTACTCCTTCTCTGAATGCCTCCATATTTGTGATGGGTGTGAACCATGAAAAGTATGACAACTCTCTCAAGACTGTCAGCAATGCCTCCAGCACCATCAACTGCTTGGATCCCCTGGCCAAGGTCATCCATGACAACTTTGGCCTTGTAGAGGGACTCATGACCACAGTCCATGCCATCACTGCCACCAGAAGACTGTGGATGGCCCTTCTGGAAAGCTGTGGCGTGATGGCTGTGGAGCTGTCCAGAACATCATCCCTGCTTCTACTGGTGCTGCCAAGGCCGTGGGCAAGGTCATCCCTGAACTGAATGGGAAACTTACCAGCATGGCTTTCTGTGTCCCCACCCCCAATATGTCAGTTGTGGACCTGACCTGCCATCTGGAGAAAGCTGCCAAATATGACATCAAGAAAGTAGTAAAGCAGGCATCAGAGGGGCCCCTCAAGGGCATCCTGGGATACACTGAAGACCACTTTGTCTCCTGTGACTTTAATAGTGACACCCACTCTTCCACCTTTGATGCTGGAGCTGGCATTGCCCTGAACGACCACTTTGTCAAAATAATTTCCTGGTATGACAGTGAATTTGGCTACAGTAACCAGTGGTTGACCTGATGGTTCACATGGCCTCCAAAGAATAAGAGCCCCTTGCACCATCAGCCCCAGCAATAGCACTAGAAGAGAGAGACCCTCAGCTGCTGGGGAGTCCTTGCCTCAACTCGATCCTCCCACACACTGAGAATCTCACATCTTTGACACAGTTTCCATCGAGTCCCTCTGAGAAAGGAGAGGGGCTTGGAGAGCCCATCTTGTCATGTATCTTCCATAAAGTACACTGTTGTTGTTATGTGCTGTCGAGTCGCTTACAACTCATAGCAACCCTATGTACAACAGCCCTAAACTGTGCTCTGTCCTGTGCCAATCACACTGTCTCTGACATACCCATCCCGAATACCCCAGTCACTGAATTAATCCACCTCATAGAGGGCCTTCCCCTCCTGCGCTGTCTCTCTACCCTCCCAAGCATGTCCTTCTCCAAGGACTGGTCCCTCCTTACAACATGTCCAAAGTATGTCAGACAAAGCCTCAGAATCCTTGCCTCCAAGGAGCCACCCGGTTTAAC